TTATATAGTGTCTTTCTTTGTCTCTTGTTACAGTCTTTGTTTTAAAGTCTATTGCTTCCTTGGCTTTTCACTTCCATTTGCATGATCTATGCTTTTCCACTTCTTTGCTTTTAATCTGCAGGTGTCATTAGGTCTGAAATGAGTCTCTTGTAGGCAACATATAGATGGGGGTCTTGTTCTTGTTTTAATCCATTCAGTCACCCTACGTGTTTATATTGGAACATTTATTCCATTTATTTTCAAAGTAATCATTGACAGATATTTATTTATTGCCATTTTGTTATTTGTGTTGTGGTTTTTTTTTTTTTTAAGATTTTATTCATTTATTGGAGAGAGAGAGAGTGAGAGAGAGCATGAGAGGGGAAAGGGTCAGAGGGAGAAGCAGACTCCCCACCGAGCAGGGAGCCCGACATGGGACTCGATCCTGGGACTTCAGGATCATGACCTGAGCCGAAGGCAGTTGCTCAACCAACTGAGCCACCCAGGCACCCTGTGTTGTGGTTGTTTTATAGTTCTTCTCTGTTCCTTCTCTTGCTTTCTTCTCTCACAGTCTGCTGGTTTTCTTTAGTGGCATACTTGGGTTCTTTCTCTTTGTTCTTTGCATATCTATTACTAGTTTTTGATTTGTGGTTATAATTAGGTTTGTATATAACATCTTCTGCATATAGCAGTCTATATTAAGTTAATGGTTACTTAAGTTTGAACCCATCCTTTACTCCTCTCCCCTCCACATTTTAGGTTTATGGTGTCATACTTTGTGCCCTTTTATTTTGCGGATCCCCTGGTTTTTATAGATATACTTGATTTTATTGCTTCTGTGTTTCCTACTGTTCTTATTCCTACTTACGGTTTTTCCTTCCCACTCAAAGAGTCCCCTTTAACATTTCTTGTAGGGCTGGTTTAGTGGTCATGAATTCCTTTATGTTTGGGAAACTCTTATCTCTCTTTCTATTCTGAGTGGTAGCCTTGCTTGCGAGAGTACTCTCGGCTGCCAATTTTTCCCTTTCAGCACTTTGACTATATCCTGCCACTCCCTTCTGGCCTGCAGAGTTTCTGCTCAAATATCAGCTGATAGCGTCATGGGGTTCCCCTTGTATCTGAGTGCTTTCTTTTCTCTTGCTGCTTTTAAAATTCTCTTTGTCTCTACGTTTTGCCATTTTAATTAGTGTGTGTCTTGGTGTGGACCTCCCTGGGTTGATTTTGTTGGGGGATCTCTGTGCCTCCTGGATCTGGATTTCTGTTTCCTTCCCCAGATTTGGGAAATTTTCAGCTATTATTTCTTCAAATAAGTTTTATGCCCCCTTTTCTCTTTTCTCCTTCTGGGATCCCTATAATGTGAATGTTATTATACCTAAGTGTGTTGCTAAATTTCCTAAGTCTATTTTCACTTATTATTTTTCTCTCTCCTATGCAGCTTGATTGCTTTCCATTAGTCTGTCCTCCAGGTCACTGATCCATTCTTCTCCTTCCTCTAGTATACCATTTATTCCCTCTAGTGTATTTTCAGTTTAGTTATTGAGTTCTTCATCTCTGATTGGTTCTTTGCTTTCTGTCTCCTTGTTAGGGGTCTCACTGAGGTCCTCCACGCTTTTCTCAAATCCAGTATTTTTTTTTTTACCATTACTTTAAATTCTCTATCAGGCTATTCCTGATCTTCATTTCATTTAGTCTCTTGCTGTGTTTTGCCTTGTTCTTTCATTTGAGACCTATTCCTCTGTCTCCTCATCTTGTCAAACTCTGTCGTTTCTTTTCTTTTTTAAAAAAGATTTATGTATTTATTTTTAGAAAGAGAGCAGGGGGAAGAGCAGAGGAAGAGGGAGAGAGAATCTCAAGCGGACTCCCTGCTGAGTGTGGAGCCCGATGTGGGGCCCAATCCCACGACCCTGGGATCGTGACCTAAGCCAAAATCAAGAGTCAGATACTTAACTGACTGAGCCCCCCAGGTGCCCCTGTTTCTATGTGTTAGTAAAGTCAAGGTCAAAGGTCCCCTACTCCTGCAAGTAGTGGCTTCATGAAAAAGAGGTCCTGTAAGTGCCCTGCAGTGCAGTGTTCCCTGTTCACCAGAACTTGGTGCTTCTGGGGTGTCTCCCATGTGTGTTGCATGTGCCCTACTGTGGCTGAGCTGCTTCCGCCTTCGGTCCAGTCATCTGCAATGGCTCTGTTCGCCTGTTGTGGGTGGGGTTTGGTACCTGCCTTATTAGTGGACCAGTCTGGGGCCATGCTGGGCTCGAGTCAGACCAGGTGTTTGCTAGAGATGTAGTCACACTGAACCGCAGGAGAATGTGGGGGCAGGGCATGCAGTGACAGCAAGGTCCACACCAGTGGCGGCAGGCTGCGCTGGAGGGGGCAGATCCCCAGAAGCAGGTGGGGGGCGGGAAGCAAGGTTTGCAGGAGTCTGCTGCGGGAGGAGACCTAGGGCAGAGGCCTGGTAGAAGGGATGTGTCTGCAGGAGGATGCAGGGGCAGGGCACACTGTTAGCAAGTTAAGTAGGCATTGCTGTGGCCTTGCTGTTTCCCATAGGTGTCTAGGCTCGGGGGCAGGGGGAGGGAAATGGCACCCACCAGCTCCTTTGTTCCTGAAGAAGCGTCTCTGTTTCTCCAGCACCAGCTCTGAGATTAGTAAACAGATATCCCTCCCATAGAACACAGGCAATTTTCAAACTGCTGCTTCTGTATGTCCAAAGGCTGGCTTGTTGTGCTGTCTCTTTAAGGGCAAGGACTCAGCTTCCTCTCTCCTCCCAGCTCTCCCAGAGCCTGTTGATTTTTAAAGTTCTAGGTTTTAAGCCCAGGGGATTGTAAGAACTCCTGAAATTTGGCCCCTCCAGTGTTCAAAGCCAAATGGTATGGGGATTTGCCTTTCTCATGCAGGCCTCCTAGTCTGAGAGTCTGTTTCTCTCCCCTCTCTGCACCTGTGGCATCCCTCTGATGGACAGTCCTGTGGGTCCATTTAGCTCCCAACTGCGTCCCTGCCCTTCTCACCCTCTTTGACGTGGCCCCTTCTCTACCTTGAGCTGTGCAGAGTCTCTTTTGCCCCTCTCTGTGTCGTTTTCTGGGTTATTTACCCCGACGCGGCAGTTGCTTTGTTCTATCAGTGGGACGAGGCGAACTTAGGGTCCTCCTGCTCTGCCATCGTCCCCAGAAGTCTGGCCTTCATTTCTTAATGGTCCCTGGCTTATGCCTCCTTTCGGGATTAGTTCATATTCAACCTGCTCCTGCCAAGAAATCAGTTTCCTTCCAATTTAGGAACCTGAAAATGTAGTAGTTAGCATTTCATTTGCTCTTGTCTTGCTGCTTCTTCATATTCCCACTTGTTACTAAACGAGTGTTGTGTTTTTACTCCTTAGTACAAAACTACATCATGCTGTTGCATGTAGCAGGAGACATTCACAGATTTGCTAAGTTACCCTGCTGCAGAGAAGTTCGATGCCCCCGTGAGTTTCCCTTTTGTTTCAGGGTTTGAATATTGGATAAGCTCAAGTTTTTGGCCTTAACAATTTTGTGTGAAAAGTTTGAGACCTATTGTCAGAGCTCGGAATGCTTCCTTCCCGATATTAGGAAAATGAGGTCCAGCTTTAGGTGAATCTTAAATTTGCCAGATGATTGGATATTGTATCAATAGCTAATTATCGTTAACAATGTTAACAATGTCTATGATGCAGGGACTATTCTTACCCTTTTACATCTAGGGAAACCGAGGCACAGGTTGACTTGTGTTTCCCAAGTGTGAGTCAGATATAAACATAGAACACAGACTTATTTTTTAAATGGCCGTATAGTTTTAACCTTGTCCTCTGCCTAAGGTGATTGAGTTTCTATTCAGGAAAAGCAGCATAAAGTTTGCATAAAGTTAATTTAAACCCAACCGGCATACACAGCTACAGCAAAAACTGTAAGGGGGCAGAATTGCCCATAGAGTGTGTGGGCCTGGGGAAATTATTTTTATGCGGATCCTGTCTACATAAGCAATTTGGGACTTCCTCAAATCGATGTTTCAGCACCATTCTGGTGACCCAGTTGCACATGATCCCACCAAAAAATTTAAACTCTTCACAACAAAGCTCTTCTGGAAACCAGGTTGGACCCCCATAGGTGTGGGTGCTAGAGCTCTTTGGGGCATCTGGTTGACCTTGTGCTCTGAAGGGCAGAAATGGGAACCAGCTGGTCCTAGCCACTAGAGGGGACCACGGGTTCCAGTAGCCAGAACCCATGCAGGGCCCTGTGTGTGCTTGGGACACTGCACCCATATGGTACTGCTGCTTCCAGACCCTGGAAGGGGGGCTTGGAAAGGCCCCAAGAAGGCATCCCAAGGCAGGGCCATGGTGTGGTAGAGTGGTCGTGAAGCAGGGGCGGGGATCCGGCTTCCCCGGGGCTTAAGGGCAGCGCTGACCAGGGATGAAGTTGGAACAATATTAAGACTTAAATAGTGATTACTTCCAAACCTCTGAATAGCTAAAGCACCCGGGCAGGGGGGGGGGGGGGGAGGGGAAAGCTGTTGTCAGGAGGAAGCCAGCTGGAAAGTTCTAGTATTTACAATATCTAATTCTGTTGGTGGGTTTGGTAAAAGAGACTTTTTTTTTTTTAATTGTGTAAAATGTTCAGGCAAAGAACTGCTTTTCCTTTCAAGTGACCAGCTCAACCCAGCTGGCTCTGAATGCTCTGAAAGCTTCCATGAGCTGGCCCAAGGTGGACATTCTACATCTGGACGTAGATGCTGCTTCTAAACAGGTGTAGAGACCGATTAGAGCAGAGCTTTTATGATGGGAGAGGGAGAGACACGGACGAATCCAGGATGACCTCGTGGCTCTGTCGCTTGGGGCAAGTGGCTTCTGAGCCCTAATGTTCGTTATGAAACGGAGAGTGTCTACCTCCTAGGACTGAGGCGAGGACTGAAGGCATTCAGGGTATATGTGCCCACACCAAAGCTGCTTATATGAACTCAAGCTGTCAAGGGGAAATTTGAGCAGCCTCTCTAGACAAGAAAAGATACAAGGTAGCCACTGCTTTCTTTCAACTGTTTTATTGCTAAACTATCATGATACAAGCCGTATAAAAATACTTTACATATAGCAAAAATAAACTACATTAAACTGGAGATTAAAAACGTTTTGCATAGGAATGTGATGTATTCAAACTTCTTTAACAGTCAAGATTTTCAAAACCTAAGCCTTCCAGCACCACCCTGTTGGAGAACATTCTACTCGTTGGAGAACTCATTAGGGCATTGTCAACATTTTCTCCCCTGTGAGGGCTGTAGAGGCAAAGGGAGTAAGGTTCTTTGACAAGATGCTCGGGATGCTAAGCTCGTCCTAACCACAGCCTCTGTCTGCTTACGCCAATCACGATGCTGAAAGGACCTGCTCTGCTGGACACGGCTTTGCATCCAATGCATCCAGTGCATCCAAACCCTGAGCCAGGCAGGTGTTTGGTCTGCTAACAGATGCATCAAGGCCGAGTGTTCAATGTTTTTTTCCCAGCACCCCATCTCCTTTTCAGAGGGGCTTGCTTAGGGACCATCTCTGAGGGAGGTTAGGAGGTGTTGGGTACCTGCTAAAGGGTTATCCCTCCAAAAAATGAGTGCGGGAAAGTTTACCCCAGCTTGTCAAGAACGTCACAACCCCCATGCCTCTTGTAAACGCGAACAAAACTGTTAAGCGGACCTCTGACAGACTTTCAATTCCAAACAATAGAAAGCACTTGGAAAGTGTTTGACATGAAAATAAACACATTCAGCCTTCCCTTTATTTCCAAGTGACAACTAGAACACATCAGCTTCCAATCTGTCTAAATGTGACCGCTCCCACACTGGCCAAGGCTGGCTTCCAGAGACCGACGTCTTGGCTCCTGGATGTAAACAAGAAAGGCCACATCAGTGTTTCCCAGCTTCTAGAAGAAATCAACCCGATTCATCTAGGGTGCGTCTCTGCTGGAAAACTCTGCAGGTCCTTTGAATAATGTGTACGAGGGGTTATCTACCAGGATTTGGTCAGCTCTGTAAACATGAGCCTGCACTGAGGGTTCTATGAACGTGAACATGAACTCTTCCAGAATCCCATTACAACACAGGCAGTTTTGTTTCTAAATCAAAATCACCTCCTAGGCTACTGCTTTGGGGGATCTCAACACTTTACAATTCTCCTCCGTGACCAGACGAAGGCTCAGAGCTGAAGTCCATGTCCTCTTAAGCAACCATGAGAGCGTTCCTTCTTCCACAAAACCATCCCTCTGTCTCCAGAGACGCTTTCTTCTAAGACTCAGGTGGCTGACAGACTCGGAGGTGGGTTTTTGGTTTTTCTTTTGGTTTGGTTTTCGTTTGTTTTGTTTTTTGCTAGCATGAATCACACAATTTCAAGAATACATCATTTCCCTTAGGGGGCAAAAATCAACAACATATGTAAAAAGAAACACTTGAAAAAGATTTCAACCATTTATAAATAGTTTCTAATTCTAACAGGGGGTGGGGTGTGATATTTTCAGGACAGATAAAAAGCATAAACATACAGATAAGAAAATAAAATTTAATAACCTGCTAATTTGGATCGCTCTTATATATTATCAAGCAGCAGTATTTTTGTACAATACGGGAAGACTTGCAGACTTGGGAAATCTACTACATTCAGCAACACGGGCAGATTCCTGTTGGTGGTGCTACATATTTACCTTGGATGTAGCAAGTGCAAACCTCGACCTGAGATCCTTCTATCACGTGCAACACACACACATCTTTACCACTTAGACATCCTTATTTTTCTCCTTCTCTCAGAGGATCTTATTGCCTCTTCCCAGACTGAAAATATTTCATGAGCAATTCCTCTTGGCAAAATTTCCTCCTGGCATTTGTTACGGACCAAACTTTCTTGATCGCTGTCGGTTCCTAATACACATTCTCTCGCCTGTTTAGGTCTCAAAACTAATGCTTTGGTTTCTCTTTCCTTTGTTATTTGGTAGAGTTGTTTATGAAAGTGCTTCCTCTAATATCCAGCTAGGAGGTCTTAGAAAAAGCTTGCGTGTGCGTTACACACACACATACACACGCACACGTACGTACAGGAGTCTGAACCTAGCGGGAGGCCCTTTGCCCTGACAGAGATGGAAGATCGATGGAAAACACGTTAGCCCTTGTTCTCCCCATCCAGGCACAACGAAGCAGAGAGACTTTGCTACAATAGCAGGAAGGCACTTGGGTAAAACATTCAGATAACTGAGGAAAGGCCAAATTCCCTCATGTGCAAAAAAAAAAAAAAAAAAAGGTTAAGGTTCCCAGCCAGTCAAGTGAGAACAGATCACTAACCAAACACTTTAACTCTTCCCCCCGTGAAGTCAATTTTGCTGGAGAGAAAATCCTTTAGGCAGAGCTGCTGGTACAAGGAATCTTTGTACTAATGAGGGAGAATTTCACATCCCAGAGGCTCTGCAGTAGTCAAGCTCTTACTGGCATGTTGTAGAGAAGAGCATTTTGCCAAACTTTGGGCTTGAAGAGAGGCCCCCAGTTGTTGGGGAAGCTAAATGCTAGGTCTCCACTGAAAGGTCACACCCTGGGCTTTCTCTCCCACTCTCTGGAGCACCAGACCCTCCGGGCCATAGCCGCCAAGCCTCGGGCTCCTGGCCAAGCTGTGGGGAAGATTTAACCTCTGGGTCACCTTGTCAAGGAAGCCAGGACTCAGAAAACCCACAGCGAGCCCTTAACGGCCATGATTCTCTTCCTCGGCTTCTACCTAGCAGAGTTGACTGAGAAATCCCTAAGAAGAGCCTTTCGAAGAGGGCCAGGAATATTTACATCCTGTGTGGATTACTGGGGGAAGAAACTAAATGGCTGAAAATGAATCTCTGGCTTGTCCCAGGGTGTCCACAATAAAGGCCAACAGGAACACATCTGTGTGACGAAAAACTCCCCAGCCGAGACCTTTGAGAGTTTTAGGTGTTTGCAGAAACTGCACCAGAGGAGGAAGACTCTTGAGGACTCGGTGTGCACAGCAGACACACCTGGGCAGAAAACCACCATACGACCGGTCTGGGCAGAGCTCCTTCCAACGGAGGCAGGCGCGTGGGTAGATTCTCTTCGAGGCGGATGAAGCAGCTAATGCAGACACGTCTTTTGGGACGGAGGGGCGCTTAAAATGGGTTCAGGTTAAAAACAAACAAACAAACAAAAATCAACTTTAGGGCCAAAGCCTGAGCTTGTTGTCCCACTCGGAGTCTAGGCCAGAGAGGGAGTTTAACCCTTGTCGTGGGGGAACCCACTTAGAGAAACACTTAGGCCTGCCCATCGATTGCCTCGTTTCCCACTTCACAAAGACACCTGCGCTGTTTACGTGGTTTCTTTTTTTCCTTTGGTTGCTGTAGCTCTTCCAGGATTCCTTCTCAAAATTCAATGCACATGCTTGCTTGAGATTCTTCTTCACCAGTTTATGGGAAAGTGCGCCGGCCGCGAGGAAGCAAGCAAGCGAGACTAGCCGAAAGCCATTGGGTTGCAGGCCTGCAGCGGCCGGGTGCTCACGCCGCAGCCTGGGGTCCCTGCCCCAGTCCCGCCGCTCCCTGCAGGGGTGAAGAGCAGCGGGCCCAGAGAGCTTCCCCCTCTCCAGCTGCCTTGGGCCGGCTTTTTGAAGCGGAGACAAAAATAACAAATGTGGACACATGTCATAACTTAACGCTGAGTTTTAACGGGTCATCTTGTGTGGGCCAGACAGTCTTGCTTCAGAATGAGAAAACTGACCAATAAGGCGGGAGCTGGGGCCTGACCGTGGCCGGGACTAGGCGGTCCCTAAGGAGGACGGTCCGGCTTCTGGGTTTTTTTTTCTTCAGCCCGGAAGCCAGGCTCGCTCGGGTCACGTTCCTTGGGTGGCTCTGTTTGAAAACTCCTTTCCTTCAAAAGGTACAGGAGCTGTATCTGTGACCTGGAAAAATGAACGCAGGGCTGGGGTTTAATCACAGGGGCCCACATCTTCCATCCCCCAGCCCAGCCCACGCCCCAAGCTCTGGTCACTCCGTTCTCAGGGCCGATCCAGCGTGCTGTCTTGTGTGTTTGGTCAGCAGGCACTTAAGGTTTTTGGATGGGACACCAGGAAAGTCAACCGAGATGCTCTCTGGGATTTAAAACAAAAATCAAAAGGCAGAGTGTTCTCTCTGGTGTTTACACAGAGAGGTGGCGAGCTCCTTAATCGAGAGTCAGCTTTCTGCCAGGACCTTGTCCCGCGCGTGGCCTCCGGGCCAGGAGATGTACAGTAAAGGAAACAGAAGGTGAGGGCAGTGGAAGGCTCCAAGGGGTCAGATACGGAAGGTGTCTTGCTAATGGCATCTTCTACGTCTGATTTCTGGCGGGAGGTCCTGAAAACTCCTTCCTGATAATTTCATTAACTACAAAAGAACAGAGAAAGAGACAGAGAGAGAGAGAAGGGGCGAGTGAGCGGGCACCAACAACACAGATCAGCTTAGCTTTCTAGAACCTAAACAATGGGGCTGTCTTGTAAAACACGCTCTTGTTCTGACGAAATGTCTTCCTCTGCTCTCTCTTCTGGATGAGACTATTTTGTGCTAGAGGTGTTTGTGAAGGTAACTTTAAAAATCGTGGCGGAAACAGCGCTGGGCCAGAGGGCAGGTGCTAAGGATGTTCTCTCTGCTACCAAACTCCTTCCACTATTATAGCATTCAGAAAATACCTACTACATGACTCAACCATAGTTGACCCACAGAGCGTACAGTTCTCAGAAGAGGGACCTTTCAAAAGAGCACATGGGAATACCTCAAAGACTAGCCACCAGTGTAGACAAAATCTCTCTCAGCACAACCAGGAATTCCCCCCACACACTAGTGAAGGATCACACTGTGAGACTTCAGAAGTGGAAAATGTCCTTCAAGGGGGTCTGGAAAATTCGGCCATCCCCTCCCCCAGAAGGACCGTGTAATTCCTAGCAGGGAACCAGGAATGGGATGCCAGCCCCTGGCATCAAGAAGCTGGCTGTCTTCTCCCATCTTGGCCCCTTATCCAGGGCCGTGGTCCCTGTAAGCAAGGCGGTGAGGTCTTTGTGGGGGGGGTGGGGGGCGGGTGGCAAAAAGGTTTCCTTCGGCTTTCTTGGTAGAAGTTGCTCTCGGTGGCAGCCCCGACCCGAGGCAGAGGGGCACACCCGCCCTAAGGTGTGTATCCACCCCGGTTTGTGCATGGGATGGGTTGACTGGTCCCAGGGGCAGGAGAGGAGGGAGACCTCTTCTGGGTGCCACGGAAGGTCTCCCAAGTTCTCCCACTGTCCTGCCCCAGCCTCCTCATACTGGGTGTTTCATCTTTGCCTTGCCTTTCCACCTCTAACTATTGAGATGTGCTCATCTCAAACTCTCCCCATGTTCAAGCCGAGCCCTCCGAGGTCCAGTGTGCTTTTCCCAGAAACCCCCGCGGGAGGGAGCCCCCCAGCCCCCCAGGAGGAGGAGCGCAAACGCCAGTGGCCTTAGAGCAGGCGGCGCGTCTGCTCCTCGGCCCGCTCGCTCCAAGGGCACCGTGACTTTACCTCCCTGGGCCTCGTGCCTTCCACCTCGTGGAGGAGGAAACAAGCGTGTGTCCCGTTCGGTCCCTGGGCGCCACTGAGGTCCGTGCAAGCTCCTCGTGCCCGCCGGGAAACGGTGCTCAGTGGCTGTGGCCTGCGGTGCCGCGAGCGCCAGGCTCTGGTGCGACTGTGCCCGAGGGCTCCGCGCCAGACACCCGCCAAGCGCTGCTCTGGGCGGTTCCAATACGAGGGGGCAGTTCGGGCGCCGGAGCCCGCTGGCCAGGGTTCGAGTCCCCCCTCTACCGCCTCCTCGCTTGCTGGCCCTTGCCTCAGCCTCCCCATCTGTAAACCGTGCATACAATGGTCCCCGTGCTTCCAGGGGTGCGGAGGAGCCCGGAGAAGACAAGGCTGGCGTAGGGCAGCCGTTCGCAGCATGGGGCGCCTTCGATACTCGCCTTCGACGTGCCAAGGGGTGGGTGCGTCTAGGAGCACGGCCGCCTGTGTGAGGGCGTCCATCAGGAGCAACTCCCAGGATGAAGTCATAGTCAGCGGACCGACATCCATTGGGCACTTTACTGTATACCAGGCACCAGCCTAGCTGACTCCAAGGGGCCCTCAGGCAGGAACCCCAGGAAGAACGGCCGCCCTAAGACCCGCCCTGGGGCACCCCACCCCCCC